TTTCAAAAATGTCCAAACTGAAGCGATAATTCTCCTTTATGTGTAAACAGGAGTAGCAAAACTTTTGTTGGCACAAAGCAGTGGAGAGGGGAGAAGTGGGCAAGGAACTTCTTTCCATAGTCTCCTTTTGCTGCAATTCCTCTCCTCCAGACGAAACATGGAATGCCCACCTAGATCTTCACCCTGTTCCTGTCCTTGGAGGAAAAAAACTTTCAGGAGAAAGTGCTGCAAGCAGAAAGAAGCACATCAGAGAAACTGGCCCATCTTGCCTTCTTTGTTCCAAATTACTCCCGTCCAGGATGATGTGAAAAAGAGCTTTTCAGAAAAAGATGGGAACAGGAACAGTCCTCCTTTTCATTACTACCCTGAAGAGGCAACAATAGATTTCTGTGGAGTCTGTTGCAATAACCCTGGGTATAATGTTGGGGAAGGGCTTTGAAAATAATGCTTCTAGTCAACTTTTATGTTGAGTGCACGTCAGGTGCTGAATCAAACCTACTTCAGATCTCAAGCAAGGCCAAAGTGAAGCCCCACAGATGTAGAGAATGAATAACAATTGTTATAGTTTCTAAAGCATCTGTTGTTTTTGCTACCCCATTACAGCTCATCATTTTAACTAAAATCAACTATCGTTTTTTTTCAAAGATCAATTAATAGGAGTTGCATATCTAACCCCCCCCCCCATTTCCTTGCTCCATATGACCTTCATAAAATTGATGCACTCCAGTGTATTGGACTACAATATTCATCTACCTCACCCAATCTGGCCAACACCTGCCTTGCAAAGAGAAGGTCCAAGGTTCAATCCGTGGTGCTTCCAGAAGGATCTGAAAGATTCCAGCTCTCTGGAGGGTTTCTGCCAATCATTACTGATGATCTCCACGAAAGATCCATGACCTAACTCAGTGGAAGATGGCAGCCTACGTTCACACAAGTTACAGTCCAAAACATTTGGGAAGGTGCTCAGTGAGAAAGGTGGGTTGATCTCCAGTCACTCAATGGCTTAATTCACACACAGCACTAAATCCAGCTCAAAGGAATGATTGGGTTCATATCTCATGCAATGCCCCAAACATAAACCACGTTATGGCTATGTTATGGTTTCGTTCACACAACATGCTGAGATAATGGCTGGGTTCCCACAAGTTGAACCACAAGCAACTTAACCTGTTAGCCTAGACTGGCATTTTGTGTGAGCTCAGCCACTGTGCAGAACTTCGGCATTCCTGAGAAGCACCCATATGTGGCATTTAAGGAACAGGGGACACTTTCAAAATGCCAGCACTGGGCGTGCTTAGTTCTCTATTATCCCAGATTTACACAGTCTGTGGCAGCAGAGAGTATCCAGAGCCTGGCCAAAGTCAACAGGAACACAAGGACCTCCAACATAAGGTCACATGGCCCCTGCTGGGCTGAGACGCCACAGCACAGCTTTTGGATTTGTGAAAAGTAGTGCTGCAGAAGAGCTATGGTCTTGCCAGAAGGCCCCTCTAGGCAAGGACTTGCAAAGAGTCCACGTTCCTGACCCCAGCTGCCAGCAACCAACCCCACCCTCATACCAACATATTCTGGGAATTCACAAACTTGGGACAAAATGAGTACCATAACACAGTAAAGCACTGAAGGATAGGAAGTGAATGTGGGGAGAATAAAGTAAATGAATAACTGCTTGGAGAAAGCTCTATGCAAAAACAAAAGGCAACGGAGGATCTTTGCTTTCTGGAGGTTCCACATTCCATGCCCACCTGGGGAGTCTTGACTGCTGAACCAGAAAAACTGAGCAGGTCTCCTGCACTGGGCAGGCAGCCTCATCTCTGAGGTTGCTTTAGACCAAGATAGGACAGGTGGACAGAAGGGCAAGGCTCAGTTCAGCAGAAGACACAAGAAGGCTGGGGCCAGGTCAGGAGTTCTGCCAGACCCAACACAGCCACTACAAACGTGGCAATGCGCATGGCAGGAGAGGGAGATGATCACAACGACCAGACCTGGATGGCTGGATGAGGAGGGATGGACAAGGTTAGGCCGTCCTGGGGAAACTCCAAAGCATTTTAATACTTTATCTCCACCCAGGTCCATACTTACTACAGCTAAGCCAGAGAAGTCAAGTGAAGGGCAAACTTAATGACAGTTTTCCATTAAGCATCTATTTCCTCCCCACACTCCCAAAACCACACACACGCACATACTCAACCCTGGCCAAAATTTTAAAAGGGTTTGAGAAGGTAAGAATTGCTCTGTGGAGGAAACTTCTGGATGACTTCTGGAGGCTTCTCATCCAGCAGGCCTGGTTCCAAGCATGATCATCCAGTACCAGCAGCAGCTCAGAAAGAACTGACACGGAGATGTCCTGTGTTCAACACTTGGTGCTGAGAGGTATCCTCTCCATTTTCCCCAATTCTCCACTGAGTTCATTGTTGTTAAAAGGAAAAGGAGCAAAGATAGTGGTCAAAGTGGTTCTCATTCAAGCTCCATTCCAGGAGGAAGAGATATCCTTGTTCATAACAGCATGTAAACAAGTCTTCTTCAGGAAATCTGTTTCCCAGATGCCTGGTTGGGGAGTGGGAGGGTCAGGGGGCTGCAGTCTCCCAAATGAAACCTTTACATTGTTGCTGGGCCTTCAGAGATCTCTTCTAATCGTTGCTCAATCATTATACGCAGGACCGAATACCTTAAAGAGATCCAAAATAGAAGATTTATCAATTCTCAGCAGCTAAATGGAAGTGACCATTGGACCAATCAAGGGAGGGAGGGAAATGAAATTATTTCCTTCCCTGAATAACGCACTAAGGTTTCTGTGCTTTCTTATCTATATTTATGTTCTTCTTTCCAGAAGATAGGTGGCATCTCTTGTCTTTGTTTTTGGAGCCTCTATTAGAT